CTTTTATTGTGTAAAGGAGACGTTCCTATCATCATAACCAGACAGACGTGAACCACCTATGAGTCGTAACTGCACGAGTAGAAATGATTTCACCATGACGACTCATGCATGCCGAAAGACACTTGCCAATTCGCACAATTGCAACTTATTGCAATGTGGTAAAGACTAGAGATAGTTTCTGACTCTTCTTCACCATATACCAATGGCATGCCATGCTCATAATATAAATTTTTCAATTGAATACCTGTGAAAAAAGGGCTGCTCTCTAAGCCATTATAAAAACACAACTACATGCGTCATGTTCCTTGCCACTATTCCATCTTGACTTAAGCTTAGTTGGTAGAAGTTATTGGGCCAATTTTGTGGAACATACACAATGAGTCCCAAGTGATAACCGTCTCAAAGTGCCCCATATATCAAACGGTATTCCTCAACTTACTGATGGACATTTTGTCTTAAAGAAATCAAGTTTGAACTTCCCCTACCGCAATATCTCAATAACGATGGGGAATGTTTATTTTTTTTAAGAGATGCAAGCATTCATTCAGTAGCATTCACATACGACATGAGTCATACCCCACCAATGAGAGTCGTCTAATAACCAATAATAAAAGCCTCGTGATAAGGGAGGCGCATTTGTAGGTGCAAGTCCAAAATGAGGCCAATAGCAATGAATAGATGGCAATTCAATTTAATTGCTATTGCTATCAATAAGTAGTTGGATTGGATGTCCCCTAGCCCCCCTTTTATTGATTTGAAAATGACAAACGCGTCCCACTCGACATTAAATACGTTGCTAGGAGGATGAATCATCGACATTGAATGTCTGACCATGGAGATAAAGCAATACGACATTAGGAAAAAAACTATTTAACTATTGGGATTTTGCACATGAATTTGACAAAATATTCACTTGCAACTCAATGAGGTTGAGAAGTCAGCAAAGGAAACTCGAGTACAAAGACAAAAGAAACCAGGTGGGTAAAATTTATTTCCAGATAGCTACCTTTGGAAGGTAACTATAATGTGGACAAAGAACGAATGAAGTGAGAACTGAAATTTTGACTATGCCTGATTATTTATTAGAGATAATATCAGGAAGCCGGAAAGTGAGTTTCGAGTCAGGTTAAAAAGTATTTTCCAGTAATCATTTCCTGCCTAGAATAAGTACTTTAGAGCAATTTTAACGAGAAATTCTCATTTTCTAGACTTTGCTTTGACCACTTTTAATCAGTAGGGTTGAAAGTATATACCACAGGATGTGCCTCCAACGAGTATCAGAATCTGTAGAACTACTGAATTCGTGGATTTACGACACAAAATTAGCATTTGATTAGAATATTCCCTTCCAGACTAAAAAGACCGAGCCTCTACTCCTAAAAGTCTTGGAAAAGGAGGAAAGGAGCGAGAAGTCATCAAAAGTACAAATAACACTGATAGTACACAGCGCCACCATATTAATCACATAAATAGACTAAAAACATACTGACACAATCGAGTATAACGAATTAATGGAATGGAATTTCAATCCTATTATAATCAGAGAGGTGGGGGTGTGATTTCAAATGGCAGGCGTTATGATAGGTATCATGGGGTGTGCAATAGACTTATAAACTTACCTCCACGTGGTGCAGCCTGGGCAACGTATACCCATACGGCCTCCACGTGGTGCACCCTGGCCAACGTATAATCATACGGTCTTACCTCCACGTGGCGCACCCTGGGCAATGTATACTACACCTTACCTCCACGTGGTGCACCCTGGGCAACGTATTCTCATTCGGCTACCTCCACGTGGTGCACCCTGGGCAATGTATACTCATACACCTCCACGTGGTGCACCCTGGGCAACGTATACTCACGATAGACTTACCTCCAGGTGGTGCACCCTGGACAACGTATACTCAAATGACATACCTCCACGTGGTGCACCCTGGGCAACGTATACTCATGTGACAAAAAAGTCTATAAACCGGCAGTTGACTTCTGAGTTCAAGCTATAAAAAAGTCTATTATTCGGCAGTTGACTTCTGACTTCAAATTACCATGACTAAAGTCTATTAACCGGCAGTTGACTTCTGACTTCAAAATATTATGGCCCGACTGAATGTCATCCTCGACCACTTTCACAGTACTTATCTTGCATTTTCTCTACTTTTGCGTCTGTTTGTCGCTTACATCCCTGAATCCCTCTTCTGTTCCCCACCCCTCGACTTTCCGTTACTTTGATGTTCCTTCCCCTCTGTGAAGCCTGAAGTCAACTAAAGGGCTAATGATAACTATCAAAACGCCTGTCATCTGATAAAAAAATAATCAGAGACGTTAAAATTTTAATGTAGGGGAGCGACTGAATCCGGTTAGAATACTATGAATAAAAAGGAGGGACGATCAAAGGGATGCGGAGAGCGGAGGTCAAGGCGTAAAGCGATCGTCTTTGAGTAATGCAGGAGTTACCAAAAAACCAGATCCAAGATTCGAATAGAACAAACGATAAATCTTAGGAGTGAATTGAAATAGATTATTAAAAGTCCCAACATATTAAGCATCAAACCACACAGTGAGTCATCTTTAATAGGAACTTAACCCCTTAAAGTTTAAAGAAGACAAAGCCCCATACCACTACATTGCAGTCCCGAGGCTATTGAAGAAACGGGAGAATTGGAGACTTAGAAATTGTAAAATGAAACTAAACAATCACCCACCTCATTATTCAATTGTGAATTTCGTTGTTGTTCCGCGCTCAAAGCCTGTTCAGATTCTCGGATTTTTCGTTGGACACTGTCCATCAAATCTAGTTCACGAAGCTCAATTTTTCTCTCGAGTTCTCGCTGCATCGCGATGAGATTCGTTTCCTTGCCATTTAACTGCCTTTCCCGATCCATTAAGTCCTCCAACACAGATCGAAGTTTGTCTTCAAGAACTTGATATTCGTGCATCTTAAAAGCAGAGAAAAAAAGTAAAAAATCTGTACAATTTGCAACGTTTCTTATCGATTCCCTACGACACGATATGCATACCAATATTTACTTATTTCAAATGAAAGGCTTTATGATATTTAAACTTTGACTTCAGCTTCCCCCAAGGGTGGGGGGGGGGGGGGGGGGTTAATACCAATATCGAGGAGGGGTTTTTAATGGATTAAATAGCGCGGTAATTTACCTTCGTTTTGCACAGCGATTCCCGTTCCTCCTCACGTTTTTTCCACTCCTGAGCGAATACCATAAGCATTTTCTGTTCACGATGCCTTAGGGTATTCTTGAAGCGCTCTTCCTCTTTTGCCTTCCATAATTCCAATTCAAGAGCTGTTCGATATTCTGACGTCTGGCGGATATCGGTAGGTGATTTGTCTATTGAGTTAACTTCGTCATATTTCTGTCAAAGAAATGATTGGCTCAATAATGAAACCGATTAGACAATAAGGCAAAATTCGTTTGAACTCACATTGGCCTCGACAGTTGGAGAAGAGTTGTACACACCAAAATCATCCAGAACTAGGGAATAGCTTATTTGAGCGATGGCTTTATCGTTTAACTTCACCACTGCCATGCTGTCCTTGGATCTTCTGTAGCCACCTACCAAAGGAATGCAGCGTAGCATCAGAATTAACAACTTTGGAATGTGCTACAGAGTGATAGGTCAGACTAACTTGTCATATTGATTATTGGTCTTGAAAATACTTCCCCAAGAGGAATAATAGCAAAACCTAAAGATGATTCGAGGCCACCTGCAGCTTCCGCTGATCGACTCAGAATCTCCACATTAAGAGGTTCTTCAAGCAGACGAGTTTTGAACTAGGATAGCAAAAAGAACGCAGAGTTTTGGAGATTAATCTAATAATTAATAACACAGCCTAAGAATGCGATCATTTTTGCCAATGAGATTAATTAGTGACTGCTTCCAGGATCATGAAAAGTGGCGGTAGGGGTTCGTATATGGAAACGTCCATAAGAATAT